TATATATATATATATATATATATTTTCCCAGTCTGGGAAGATCCCACATGCCGCGGAGCGGCTGGGCCCATGAGCCATGGCCGCTGAGCCTGTGCGTCCAGAGCCTGTGCTCTGCAACGGGAGAGGCCCCAACAGTGAGAGGCCCGTGTACCGCAAAAAAGAAAAGAATGAAAGCACTGACACATGCTACAATGTGGATGAACCTAGAAAATATTATGCTAAGTGAAAGAAGCCCAACACAAAAGACCACATATATTTTATGATTCCATTTACATGAAATGTCTGGAACAGGCAAATCAATAGAGACAGAAAGTAGATTAGTGTTTATCGGGGACTGGGGATTATTGTTTAATGGGTACTAGATCTCTTTTTGGGGTGACGGAAATGTTCTGGAACTAGATAGTGGTTGACAGTTGGACAACATTGTGAATGTACTAAATAAATGCCACTGAATTATTCACTTTAAAGTGATTAACTTTATGTGAATCTCACCTCAATTTTAAGAAGTGAGAGAGAGACCCAAGGTCACAAACTATGATGCCCAGGTCCCAACTGCAGCTTCTATGAACTAATCCCTAAGGCCCTGAGTTTGCCAGTTCACAAGGCAGTACTAGTTCTGAAGGGAGCCACATCACAAAGAAAAATGCTGAGAATTCAGGGAAGCTGGTTAATTCCAAATCGTCACTGGAAAATGGCTGTGCCTAGCCTCAGCACGCCGCAGCGCAGAGCGTGGACTGTGGGGCAGCCAGTCCTGGGCCGGCTCCCCCGTTAGCCTGGACCTTGGGCACAGCTCTCAACTCCGCTGAGCCTCAACGTTAACTCTAAGCTTCAGCTTCCTTCAGGGGATAATGGGGTTGGCCACATTTTCTACCCTGAGTGACAAGGGGAGCATCGTGTGAGATAATGTGTGAGGAGCGCTCAGCAGAGGGCCCGGCCCCGGTGAGCAGGTAATAGAAGTGAGGCTCCTGGCCTTCCTGGCCATCCTCCCCTAGCCCAGCTACCCTGTCCGTCCATGGTTTCCACAGAGGCCTGACTCACCCCAAATTCTCTCCCTTGGTTGGTTGTGCCATTCTGTGGGAGAAGTGACAACAGTTAACTCTATATCATGTCACCTTGGTCACCTCAAACCATGGGAATAGGTGGAGACTGCACCCAAGAAAGGGATTCCAGAATCTTCCTGTATGCTGATTCTATCTGCAGAGATCAAACCCTTAAACCCTCACCCCTACTCCAAGGTGGCCTCCCTGCTTCTACTCTGGGCCCTTCTACAAACTGCTCATGTCAACCCCTCCCCACCCCCATACTCAGAACCTTCGATGGCTGTCCACTGCCCACGGATGGCCTTCCAGTGCCTCCTCTCCCTCTACTGGATACATAAAAGCCACATGGACCCTTCTCAAATTCTCGAATACTGAAGACCCTTTCCGACCCCTGGCCCTTTGCAAACACGGCCCCCTCTGCCTGGGAAGCTCCTCCCCTCCCATCCACAGAGCTCATTACTGCCCAACCTTGAGGTATCAGGTGAAATGTCACCTCCTCTGCCACACGTCCTCCACCTCACATCCTAGGTCGGGTCTCCCCCACCTCCAAGATCTCTGAGAGCCCCCTTCAGTTTCCCGACAGAGGACTTCTCTCCACTTGATTCCAGCATCTGTCTGATTACTGGAATGCCCACCTCTTCACGGACCATTAATCCTCCAAGACTGAGGGCAGGGACATGCCCACCACACTCACTGCTGTACCCCTGGCACATAGTAGAAACTAAGAAGCGACTGCACTGCTGAGTGAATGAATAAACATCTCTACTCTGCTTTCCCCCAGAGCCACGTGCCCCTGGGGGGCCCGGTCAGGAGAGGTGGGACCTCCCAAGGGCTCCCCTTGCAGCTGGAAGGAAGCTGGCTCCTTCCTTCTCTCCTGAAATTGAGGGTTTGGGAGTTCAACACCAACAACTTAACACCACGTCTTCTCTTCTGTCAGAGCCACAGAGGAAAGCACTAAGCTGTCAGGAGTGCTGTGTTGCCTGCTTTGTTTCTCTAAGTCACACGAGAGTGGAAAAAAAAAGACTAAAATAATTCCTTCTTTCTATTTTACCATGGAACAAAGTCAGTGATGGGAGAGGCAAGGGCTGCTTCTCTCTGCTTCCAGGGGGGACATTAGCTCTAGGGAGGGGCTGGATTATCGTAGTTATCCCTGCAGCAGGGACCCCAAAATGGCTCCGTTCAGGGACTGGGCTGACAAGGAGCCTCCTGCTTTCTCCTGGGACTCAGAACATGCTTCCAGACACCTGCCTGCCCACATCGGGGACGTGGGGTGGGGTTCAGACAGGGCTGGCCAGACTCCACCCGCGTTTGTCCTTCAAAATCGGCAGGCGTTGGGACAGACATTGAACCCTGTAGAAGTCCCATTCCCTTTGCCATTCTTTGAAGTCTGCGTCTCCCTCTCAGGGTCTCCCCATAACCACACCTGGAGGCTGGTGGTGGGTTAAGCAAGGCAGATATTTTTGGCATCACTTCACAAAAGAAGAGATGCACCCCCGCCCCCGGTCTCCTTTGTGTGTGTGTGGAAAATTTTGCATAACATAAAATTTACCATTGTAACTATTTTAAAGTTGGCATAAAGTTCAGAGGCATTAAGCACATTCACAAGGTTGTGCAACCATCACCTCTATCTAGTTCCGGAATGTTTTCATTCCTGCAAACGGAAACTCTGTATCCATTAAGCAGTCACTCCCCCCGTCCCATTCCCTCCAGTCTGCTGTCTCTGTGGATTTACGTGTTCTGACATTTCATATAAATGGAATTATAAGACATGTGGCCTTTTGTGTCTGGCTTCTTCCACTTAGGATCACGTTGACAAGGTTCATCCGAATTGTAGCATGTGTCAGTGCTTCAGTCCTTTTTATGGCTGAGGACAGATAGATCACATTTTGTTTATCCATTTTCATCAGGTGATGAACTTTAATTGACTTTTGGATTAAGACTTACTTTGCCCCAGACCACATGGGACCTGCCCAGCACATGGTCAGTGCTCCGTAGATGTCTGTGGAGTGAAGAAGCTGGTGGCAGAGAAGGGCCCCTACCCTGCCCTCGTGACTCTTTGCTGACGGCTCTGCCTCACCCCAGGCATCTCGGGCCTCTGCCCACCTACCTGAAACCTGTGGGCGCTGAAGAGCTTCCTCAAAGTGGTCCTGAAGTCGAGGCGGGGCCTGGGCACGGGGGCAGGGGCCGCGGTAGGATCGGCATCTCTGCCCTCTGCGCCCGAGGCCGGTGTGGGCGGTGGCTCCTCCTCCTCCTCCTCTTCATTCTCCCACTTCTTGTAGTTGATGTTCCACGCGTGGTAGTCATCCCCAACGACGGTGAAGTGCTTCAAGAACTTGCTCATCCTGTCGGCGGGAGCCACCTTGGCCCTGCGGGTGACTGCCTGAAGGGAGGGGACAGAGGGGAAGCGCTCAGGTGGCCCATCTGTCACTCTGGGGGAGCAGGGCCCCCGCTGGGCCGGGCCACGGGGTGAAGACAGTCCCCGTGCTCAGAGCACCGTGCAAGCACAGACCATGAGGTCACAGTGGTTTCTCGTGCATTTATTTTTGGAATCCAGGGTCTCAGGGCCGGTGAGGCAACAGGAAACCCCAGATTCCGTCAGGCCTGCCACTGTGGTCTGGTTGGCAGTAACCAACAGGAGAGGTACTGCCACCCAGTCGCAAAACACCCACCACGGGCCCTCATGTAAATACTGGAAGAGCAGCCCATGGTTCAGAGACATCACAACCTAAAACCCCAGAGGTGAGAGTTGGCAGGGCGGGGAGAGGGCAAAGGCAAAAGTAAAAGTACCCGAAGTTTCACACAAAAGTGAAGCCACCCTCCCCGCCTTCCATGCCACAGCTCAGTCCTGGAAAGGTCTGAGCAGCAAGCGGATTTTTCCTGAGTTCAGCCAGTGCTGTTTTAAATACATTATGGACAGCTGTTTAAAGATGGATGGACTTCAAAGCAAAAAAGCAAATATCCTCCCATTCCTTTGCCCAACTTACCCTACCAGACATCACATTTTTTATAAAGTTCAATAATGAAAACTTTCATGTATGCTTACTAGAATAGGCAATATGATCAGCATAACAGGAAAAAAGAGCCCCAAACAGACCCAGGTCCCCGTGGGAACCTGGATGTGACGGCAATGGCAGTACAGGTCAGTGAGAAAACACTGGAGAGGTTAGGATATCTGGCTTTCCCAACAGGGAAAAAAAAAAAAATCCCTACCTTACACCACACACCGAGTAAATTTCAGTTGTGTTAACCTATATAAATGTATTTTTAAAAACTTTAAAAGTCTTAGAACAAAATACAGACAAGTATCTTTATGACCTCAGGTCTGGGAAGGATTGCTTAACTAAGACACAAAACACAAAAGAAATGAATAGACCTAACTCATCAAAGCTAAAAACTTTTATCTCTTGCTCTCTCTTTCTCACACACATCTGTGCAAAGTCAGATACACCACAGACCGGGAGTAAATATTTCCAATGTATTTAATAGACAAAGATTTTAGTGTTCAGAATATATAATGAAATCTTACCCAAAAAATACAACTCCATGTAAAATTAGGTAGTGGATATTAACAGGCAGGTCACATGAGAGGAAACCCAGATGGCCAAGACACTCAACTTCACTAATATTCAGGAAAATGTGAATTGACGTAACAATCACACAGCTTTTTGTTCCTCACATTGGCAAGAATTTAAGTCTACAATAGCAAATGCTGGTGAATGTGTGAAGCAAAGGGGGTCTCCTGAACCCTGAAGACAGGAACAGACACTGGCACCACTATTTTTGGAAGCAATCTGGCATTGTTTTGTCAAGAGGAAGCTGTACTAGTTAATGATCTAGTAATCCCACCCCTAGATAGGCTTCAAAGAGAAACTCACCCACATGTACTCAAATCAGTAACATGTTCAAGAATGTTCACTGCAAATGTTCACCTAAATGATAGGAGATAGAGAAGTGAATTTTCTCTATTCATGTGATGGAATTTTATACACAGTTAAAATGAATGAACTATGTCTCTGTGTATCACTGATGACATCCACGTGTACCCCCTCAGCAGTACTGAACACAGCAGATCACTCCCTTTCTTCAAAAACTTCCTTCATTGGCATCTGGGATTCCACACTCTCCTAGTTTTCTTCCTACGTCAATGGCCGCAAAATATTACTATATATTGTTTTCGGAATGTGTAAAATGTGAGCATAAACATACAAAAGAATGGGATTTCTGATTCTGACCATGATACAGTAACTGGTATAAACAACTATACCAGTTACAGCAACTGCCATAAAATTAACTATACCAGTTAAAGCAACTGCCATAAGACTAGATAAACTATAAAACTGGATAAAATATATGAAATTTACTGTGATCCCTGAGAGAAGAGAAACAAATGAGATGAGCCCCCACAATCACCTGCCTGGAAGTACTTTCTGGACTCTGGAGACAAAGATTATAGTTCAGGGCTATTGAACTTTCCTTCCTCAGGAATTTGTGTGTCAAGTTACCAGAGAAAAGGAAGCAGCGCAGAGAAGAAACTAAAAAAATTGGACTTTAGCTGAGTCCACATGTGCAGAGCAAGACTCCATGAGGCAGGGCAAAATATAACTTTCAGGGAAAAAAAAAAAACTCTTGGGGAACTGTGAGCTGAATTACTGCCAATTACACAGGGCTGAGTTAGGAGATCTGAGTTCCAAACAGCTAGAGTAGAGAGATCTTGTTGAACACTCTGAGCATGCAGTAGAAATTCCAAAAAAGCCATGCCTTATAAGTAGACCTAATCTAGCCCTCCAGTCAGGGCTACCTTAGACCTCTCCCAACTAAGCTTAAAAATAAGGCTTCTTCAAAAGATCAAACTTATCCCTAAGTAAATTAACTGCCCGTTGGAACAAAACTCAAAAGTGCTCTTTTGAGGAAGACAGCAAAACACCCTCAACAACATAACATTCATAATGTCCAACATATAATAAAAAATTACTAGGCAGATAAATAAGCAGAAAAAATGTGGCCATAACCAATAGAAAAATTAGCTTAATAGCTCAAGAGGGACAGAGGTATGGAATTGGCCAACAGAGACTTGAAAATAGCTATTCTAAATATGTTCAAAGATTTCAAGGAAAACATGAACTTAATGAGGGAACAAATGGAGAATCTCAAAAGAGAAATGTAAACTACAAAAAAGATCCAAATTGATACTCTAGAACAGAAAAATACATATATGAAATGAAAAATCACTGGATGGGCTTAATAGCTGATTAGATGCTGCAGAAGAAAAGTTCAGTGAACTAAAAGATAAAAAATTGAAAATATCCAGTGGAAGCATGGAGAGAAAAAAGACTGGGAGTAGGGGGAAGAATAGAGCCTCAGGGACAATATTAAGTGGACTAATATACATGTACCTGGAGTACCAAAAGGAGATGAAAGGAAAAATATTTGGAGAAATAATGGCTGAAGAAAATTTCCAAATTTGATGGAAAAATATAAACACGTAGATACAAGAGTCCATGTCCCCAGAGTATCATGTGACACCTGACCTAGAACAGAAGCCCATCAAGTGCCTGTTGGCTGAGGGCACTGGTGCCCTGTCTCCCATGCCAGCCCTCCAATTGCTGGGTTCCCAGGGCTGGCTAAGGGCCAGGCCCACAGATGTCCCAAATCTCTCTGGGTGGCTACTGGCCATAATCTGCCCCCCTCAAAACACCTCACCTAGCAGATGGAAACCTCCCGTACTAGTTCTCAGCATGGTGGGAACCTCAGGGTGCTTTGCAAAAACCACATTTTATATTTCATACAGGAAAGGAAATTTTTTTTGAAACTTTGCACCCAGTAAAGAAGCAACTTTCAGTAATTTGGGATGAAAATATTTATGGCACCCAGCAGAGCACAAAACAACTCTGGTTTTAAGTCAAAAATCTGTCATTCTGGAAGCAGAAAAGTTCCAGAAAAGGGCAAAGATCATGAAAACGTTGTGGGCCTCAGCAACTGCACCACCCACTCTGGACTCTCAGCTCTCGGGATCCCCCCACCTTGCCTGAGTGGGACGGAAGGACTGACTCAGTGAGCTACGGGGACCACTGGCCTCAGTGCCTAGCCTGGAGCAGCCCCTCTGTAAGCACCAGCTGGTATTATTATTCCTCAACAACAAAAGCTCTCACCTCCACTCCTCCAACTTCATCATCACCCATGGATATCTCGTTTCTCTGGTTACTAGCCCCGCTGCCTGCTCTGCAACCCCCAGACTATTTAGTTACATGAACTGAAAGATTCCTTTTCTGGCTGAAGCTATATAGATTGAGTTGTTTCTTTCACGTGCAACCCGGAGAATCTAGATCAGTGGAGGCCCTGGCACTGGACTCCCCCATCTCCATCTCCCCTGCATTAACCCTTGCTGTCCCAATATATCCTGGCATTGCTCTCTCTGGGGTCACCTTTCCGTATCAAAGCCCACAACTATGGTTCCAGCTGGACTGGACTGTATTCTCTCACACTGTGGACTTGGTTCTGTTTGACAACTGCGCCTCTTGATTTTTCTCCCATCTCTGGCCTCCCTTCCTGTACCATGTCCCTGCCCCCACGCCACCGGAAGTCCTCAAGTCCCCAACCCTGAGCTTGTCCTGGCACAGGGCGACTCTCTCCCTTCGGTGGTCTCTACACACCTGTGTTTTCAATGCTGCTCAGGTGCAAATCAGCCTCCAGCCTGCTGTCTGATATCCTGCCAGGTCATTAGTTGCTATGACCCAAACTGAACTAATTTCTTATCTTTCCCCCCAAGTCCACTCTTCCTTACATGTTCCCCTAGGTCATGGTGTCACATCCACCCTGCTGCTCAAGCCAAGAACTAAAGATCATTCCTGGCTCCTCTCTCTCCGTCAGTCTAACCTCCTAAACACCACTCATGCTGCACCTTCTCTTCTCCGTCTAACTCTCTCCTACCGCTCTCACCTCTTGCCGGGACACCAGCACCAGCCTCCTCACTCAGCCTCCTGCCTCTGACCCTTTCTCCACCCAGTGGTGGCCAGGGTCACCTTTCTCCAAGGCTGGTCTGGCTGTGTCCCTGCCCTCGCCTATCCTCCCCCTCTTCCCATTACCTTCAGTCCCTCCACCCTCACCCACTGCCAACCGCTGCCTTCAGGACAAGGTCAAAGCTCTCTTGGTCTCCTCCCCAGCCTCCGCCACACTCCAGTTACACCAACTGCATTGCGGTTCTAGAATAAACCATGCTCTCTCTTGCTTCCAGGACTTCACACGGCCTGCCCCCTGTCTGGAATACCCTCGCCTGTCTCACCCTAGTTCTCTTTCAAGTCTTACAGACGTTGATTTTACCTCCCCTGGGAGGTCTTCCTTAACCGCCGCCTGCTGGGTGAGGGTCCTTCCTCTACTTCCCCA